AGGAGTGAAGCTTCAGGTGCTGGAGCCTGCTTCCTTGTATGCCGAGGCTGCACTGCAGGGGAGAGAAGCCCCAGGTGCCTTCCCCTGGGGGGTAGGGAAGGCAGCGGGCTCCAGTACCTGAGGGCTCTCACTGGTGCTGAGCAGCCCCAACTGGGAAGGCAGCTGGCTCCAGCACGTAGGGCTTGCCTCTTTGCTGTGCAAGTTCTTAGAACATGTATGTCATGTGTGTGTTACATTGTTTGGTGTAAAGGCCTAGGCAGACTCTTGAACTCTTACTCAGTTTCTAACTCTTCCTCATACATGTAAGTTTTGCAGTCATTCCTAGAGAAGTTTAAGTAAGGGCTTCATGATTTTATTCCCCGGTTAGGGAATACGAAACAAAAGTTTCATGCCTCCTTCCCCGCCTTCCCCTTTTCATCAGTCTCATTTGTCCCAAGAGCTGGGCTGAATTATAGGATTTACATGCACCTATAAAATCCAAATGCCCCTTTTTATTTTTATGGCCAGGTTGTTGAAAAAGGCAGCTATCACTGGAGGGACAGGATTGACTTCTAATTTTTATTGTTTACAGAAGGTATTCTTAATCAGAGAGTAAACTGCACTTGAAGCCTCTGTCACTGAAACAGCTGAATGATGCCCCTTACCAAACTAAGTTATAACATCTGAATGCTCTCCAGTTAAGCAACTCAATGATTTCTCCACTCCCCCCACTCAGAAGTATAACTCAATGCAGTAATATATTAAATTTACTATTCACATTTGTCCTTTCCTCTATGTCCAGTGCACAGGGTCTGACTCTCCTTCCTTCCTCCTTGTTTAGATAGCAGTGTAACACCATTAATTTTATGGGATGATTCCTGATTTATGTTACATGTGTGAGCAGAATCAGGCTCTTGGTGCCTATTTTTTTCTCTTAAACGATGCCTTCCCCACCCTCTCCCGTCCTCATAAACTATCATCAATTTTGCCAATTGAATGTATTCTTTTTAAACAAGCAATGGTAACTTTATTTAATTACATTATCCTTGCTAGATCATGAAGGGACCTCTTGAGAATAATACAAACTCTGTCATCCAAGGTGCATTCATTAGGCAAAGATGTTCTAATATATTTTTTTCTACCCAATCTCATTATTCCTGTGCTACAATGGATGGTAAAATATTAAAAGGCAATCTGCTGACTGAGATGTGCTCTGTGCTGCTGCTAAGGACTCAGCCAGTTGGGGAGTCCCTTTTTGAGTCATATGAATGCCTAAGAGAAGGGTTGATAGAAGAACTAAGTCAAGCCCCATGCTGACAGGCTACACAGAGGTTGGCAGAATGCACTTCTGTAAATCCCAGGGGCCTAGCCCCTTGCAGATGTAGAACTGCCATCATGCAGGTGCAACGTGCCACTGCGGACCAAGAAGTTTCTTGGCCTGACCCTTTTTGACGCTTGTTACCCTCTTGGCTTGCCAACATGCTTTCATGGTGGTATATTGCAGGGTAGGATGTGCAGTGCCCCAAATCCACAGCATGATGCCATGCTAACACTTCAAAGAGTTGACACTGGGGGCCTAGCAGCAAATACAGCTGGGCTTAACGAAGGGGTGGGCAAAATACGGCCCACAGGCCAGATCCTGCCTGCCAAGCCATTTTGTCCGGCCCTGCTCCTGGCTGCCTGTCAAAGATGACAAGAACCAGGGGCAGTAAGACCCAGTGGGATCCAGCAGGACCGAGCAGCCCAACCCTGCCTCACTCCCAGCCATTTCCCTGCCTTCCTGCCCCCGCACTTCTCTAGCACCACGTGGTCCCAGGCTGCATCACTGGACTGGGGAGCACGGGCTGTGCCAGTACCACAGGGCCAGGAGTGAGAGGTGTGTGTGTGTGTGTGTGTGTGTGTGTGTGTATTTGTAGGGTGAGTCCCACACACACATCCCACCATACATATGCACCCACACCCCCTCACATACCCTAGCCACCATCCCCCCACACACAGCCTCCCACTAACCCCATACCTACCCATACCCCACATATCCACACACACCCACAATCTCCCTCACCCCACACTCCTGTACCTATCCACCCCCATAGACACACTCACAGCCTCCCACAAACCTATACCCAACCCCCACAACATACAGGAGTAAGACTTCATTTTAAGCAATCACCTCTATGTACACTATACAAACACATGTAAATCAGGACAAAAATATTTTTTGAAATCAAGTTAATGAATGTTGTAGATGCTTTCTTTTAGAATATAATTTCTTATTTTTCTGTTTCCAAGATGGAAAAATTCCTTGCTGAAAGGAGTACTTTTGAGGGCAAGGGGAGGGACTTCTGGTGGCAAAGGTCAGGGGTTAGGGGCCGGGACTTCCAGTCACAAGATGATGACCAGAGGGTGGGGCACCTGTCAAGGGGTGGGGCTAACCATATGTCCCTCGACAGCTTGCCCAAACTCAGTAAGCAGCCCT